AACTATAACTGGTTTGAAAAGACCCATCATCTTTGTGTAGTTATGTAATGTCAGGACATCTTAAGTTTTAACATTTTAACAGTGTGGCAACAGTGATTATAATTTCCAGTCAAACTTTCTATGAGTTAACCAAGAGTTTCTGAGGCTCACTCTTAAGAACCGTCTTAATTTTGGTCATCATGGGCTGAACTCCGGCCTCGCCATCTGAATGGTGATCACTGTCTCCAGTGTACTTGTCTTCAGCCAGACGCCTCTTCTTGGGCATAGGCATGCCTTCCTCCAGCAGGGCATCTACATCATTGTCAAAGTCCTCCTGGAAGAGTAGGTGGGTTAGTAACTGGCTGCCACTGACACTTCATCAACTAAATGTACGGCAAGATTTGAATCAAGCCCATTTTGTGAGCTGTAATTCAAATCTTCTTCGAATGGACCACCTTGTTACACCCCAGAATCCTTCCTGATGAATAAAGGACACATACTCTATTTCTGGTAGATGCACATTTCAGGAGATGTTTTGAATCATGGCATTTATAGGTTTAGGTGGCTTTAATTAGCCTACATTACAACATAATGTTTCAACTTGAACAAAGAAAATGACCAAAATCAAAGAGGGCATAACAAGACCATGCATTTTACCTCATAGGAGTAATTCAGGTCCTCCTCGTGCGCTTGCTCCTGCTGAACTATCATCTGAGACCTGAAACCACTCTGTTCTCCGTCTTCCGCTTCCAGAAAGTTCTCGCTGAAATCTTCCAGGTCATCCAAGACGGCAAACTCAACCTTGTTCTCCTGCTCTGTCTCCAGCTCTTCGCTGTTTCTAGCTAACCCTAAGGTACCAGTGCTCATGGTCGAGCTGCCCGGCACACTTCTCTGCTGTAAAGAATCATGCAATTCACCATTCAGGCCCTCTAGGCTCTGATCTTCATCGCTAACCTGCCCCAAACCAGTGTACAACACCTCCCTGTCTTTGCTCTTACTGCTGTCTGAGAAACTGACGCTGATCTTTACATCTTTGAGGAGTTTGAGATCAGGTAAGAACTTTGTAACTGGGGGAGCATGGCGAGCGGTTCTAGGGCACGTGGCCATGGAGTCAGGACTACCTGATGGGTGACTACTAACGGACAATGTGCGCTTGTTGAGGAGGAGCTGTTCATCCCTGTCCACTGCTGGGGTGTGTTGGTGTCCATCACCACCAGAGCTAACGTCCATTTCCTCTGCGTCACTGGACGTTTGCAGGGGAGGTGGTGGAGGTGCTTTACTGTAATCATTCCCCGCCAATACTGCGTCTGGTGGCTCCAATGGGAGGGGAGGTAAAATCTCAGTGACATCCATGTTTAATTTCTTAAAAAGAGCTATATTAAAAACCTAAGAGAATGCAAGTGGGAAGGGATCTGCCTAATTTAGCTAAAACATTGCAGCCCTAATACATGCATGAATATTACACAGCTCAAGACACCTATTTAACAATATTCATGTACATGGTTGAATATGCTAAGCTGACTACATTGTTCTTTTCATTAATGTAGACAGCTTTTTAGAAATCACTGTCTCAATTATTGGAAATCACAATGCATTCAGCTTAAACGTTGCCCACATCTAAGCACGGTCCATCCTGGGAGGCCAGATCCTCTGTCGGCGCTGAAAGAAAGAGAAAAAGAAATCAAGATGCATTCAAAGAACACTACAGAACTGGATCTAAATGGTAAAACCTCTCAGATGCACCTTTTATTTCCCAAAACTCACAAATGCATGCCACAGAAATCAGTATTAATACAACTGATGAATTGTTCATTTGCATGTCGAGATTAAAATTGGTTGCTGTTGCTAAATAAACCGTCAGCAAATAAACACTGTATTTGTAGAATTTCATAATGAACTATAAACTCTGAAGGCCTTTGCTAATTGGTCGGCTAGGAGAAACGGAAGTCAATATGTTACATCTCATCACGCAGACATTAAAAACTGCAATTTTGTGTCTCATCACTGGTTTTTAAAGCAATTATGTGCGCGCTTTTTGTTTTGTTTAGCAAAAACTGATCTATGATTCGATTAGATAGCCCGTGTTAGCCGAAATAAGGAGCTGTGTGCGGCAACCAAACCTTCTCAACCGAACCACGCGTGAATCAGCTTAATGTCGACAGGAGTAAATATCAGCGTGCTTTCTGCAAATTATTCTCTTCCTCACCTCAATTAATTACTCACCTAACAACACAAATGCTCTACGAAAGACTGCATGCAATCAAAGGGGTTTTCCGTTTATTGGTTTCAGATGGCCGTCTCCCCTCTCCGCCATCTTCACCGCAGCGCAGCATCAGGGGATCTGAATGAACACGCCTCTCACCCGGTGTCTACGTTCGTGTGATTGGACCAACATGATTCCGTTTTTACTGAAATTTGCTTCAGATGTGAAAGATTTGAAACAATTAATTTGTTGCATGGCTTGGTGAAATAATATGCTACACCACATCATTAGCAGGAATTATCAGATATTGGATAATCTCGCTTCTGATGTCATTTACACGCACTGTAGAATTAGTTATATGATCACATGAGTGCATGAATGCACAGCGACAGCACTGGCATGTACTTTGTATGAGTATTTATGTCTCGGTTTACAGTTGTTAAAGAAAGCATATTTAGTGGGTACGTCTATTACAAGTTTTTCTTGCTAAATGCAAAAAGCACGAAACGGAAATAAGGCGGAATATGTCAGCTATGTACGACTCTTGAACGAATCGCTTGCTTTTGAGTCGAATCTTTTCAATGAATCGGTTGACCAAGAGACATCTTTAGGGCAGGCTTGTTCGGCCCTGTCCCAAATGACACACTTCACGTGCATTTGTCATGTTGCGGTCTTACAATGGCCAAATTGCATTATAAAATAAATAATACAAGCTTGTGTGTGTGTGTGTAGAATATAAAAAGCAATTCGCTTTTATGTTAACATACACAGAATCCGATAAGGCAGTGTCATTTGTTACTGAAACCCGTTACTCCTCTACAGTGCCGTGCACAGACATGAGGGGCAGTGGCCCAAACCAAAAAAGGGGCACTAGGGGGGTGGGTGCTTGTTAATACAAATTATCCAGTTGTTACAAATCTAAAATTAATAGAGAAGACAGCACACTCTGTAATAATTTCAGACTTTATTGTAGATGTTTTGATAAGAATGGGCTCTCCCTCACTCTCTGAGCCTGCTTCTGCCTCATCTTCAATTGAAGTAGGGGAGAGAGCTTTTCATCGCATTATAATCAGATATATATTTCCACCTGTAGTCCCTAATTGCCAACAAACTCTCTGTTTAGTCTGTTTTTAGGAAGGCTACAACTTTAGTGTTCAACATATTGTTTCAGAAATACAAACAATTAAATATTGAAATTTAAACTTCATTTGGTTGGTTTTATGTTGTTAAA